CAAAGTGTTCGCCCCACATCAACTGTTTGGAGTAGTTTGTGAAGAATAGGTATAACTTTTCCTTAAATATTTGGTAGAATTTCCATATGAACCTCTCCATATAATGTCATGGAGAGTAGATACCCACCCTACAAATCACATGCGCTCTACCTATTTACCCAGCTCCTCTGAACCCATGGCAACCACTGACCTTTTTACTGTCTCTATAGTTTTGCCTTTTTCAGAATGTATATAGCTGGATTCACACAGTATATGGTCTTTTCAGACTGACTTCTGTAACTTAGCAATATGCCCTTAGGATTATTCTATTTATTGCTTGGCTTGGTAGCTCATTTCCTTTTTTTCTTAACCTGAATAATATTCCATATCTTATATATATACAATATATATGTATTATATAATATATATAGATATATAGATTATGTATAATCACAGATATTTCTCCACCTATTGAAAGACATCTTAGTTGTTTCCAGTTTTAGGAGCAATGGGTTTTTGATAGTTCTCATCAAGCTGAGTTAAAATCTCAAACACTTGTCAGATAGCTTATTCACAAATAGACACAAGATTTCTTAGTAGTTAGACTTGAATAGAGAAAGAGGCAGTTGAACAGTCTTCTTCAGGTTACAGAAGACCTCTTCACATTTGAGTTCCCCAGGATAGGGTCTCTTACTGAGGGGAGTGTCAATTCATAAAGAGGTGTTTCTGTCTAATAAAACTTGCACCCATTGTCTGCAAATATTCAGTTAAATCCAGAAATACTCTCAATTGTCTTTTGTGAGGGGGTCTAGGATATGTTTGAATTGTCTTTTATCAGAAAAGAAGTTTTTCCTCTCCTGAAATGGGTGTACTCTAAATAATGGACTGTATTTTGGCAAAATTATAACTTATATTTGAAATTTTATGCCTCCTTTTTAATAAGGCTGGGGTAAGTCAATGGAATCCTTTTACAGGCTTCCTTGTTCTTTGAACAAAGTAAATTATCTTACACATTGTATTAAGAACTGAATCAGAAGGGAAATTTAGACCTTTTAAGTGATGATCCAGAACCAGGGAAAAATAGAAGGGGGCTCCAATGTACTCCAGGGGCATGACAGTCCAGGTATATTATTGTCCTCCTCAGGTGAAGGTGAAAAGGTATTGACTGTCTTGGTCTAGAAACACATTGAAAGAGGCAGAGGAGAGATTCATTACAGTGAAGCAAGTGGCTTCATGTGGAATTGATGATAAAATGGTTTTTGGGTAAATTTTTGTCAGGAAGTGAGGTATACCTATTTTATTGATGGCCTTAAGGTCTTGAACAAATCAAAATCCTTGTCTGTTTGGCTTCATTTCTTGCTGGATGAGAGTGTTACAAAGGCAGTGCATGGGAAGACCTTTGTAGAAGGCATTCAGCTATACGTTTGAGCTCTTCTTTTGGCATCAAGGGATATTGTGGGAAGTTTGGGTAATGGTTTTGTAGAATGTATCTGAACTTTAATAAGTTCTGCTCCCATTATCTTTACTACATCAGTGAAATTTCTAACTCATAAAGGTCAGATGTTGTGTCAAGACATTTATTTGGAGTATCTATCAAATATAATGCGGAATGTAAAGGTATATTCACACCAGATACAACTGATTATGAATAGAGAGCTCCTCTGAAAACTCAAGAAATAGTCCCTCTGGTGTGCTTCTAATAAACAGTTCTATGTGTAAAGTTAAGTTCTACTTTGTTAGATTGGCAAGTGTGTTGTCACGGAGCAGGAAGGAATGTTTTCAGTCAGAGGGCTCAAGGGTTACATATAAAGGCTGAGAGACAGGGAAAATCTGTGCATTATTTGAAATACTGATCACGTGTGTGGGACGTTTATGGCAAGGAAGAGGCCGAGCAAAGGTGGCGGGGCTTGTTATAGAAAGAGTAGCAGTTGCATTGATTTTTATTGGAAATGTTTCAGGTATGATTTTTAGGAGACTCTGCCCAACTTTTCAGGCTTGTTATTGAACCCTTAGGGTTATTGTGGTAAGAGAGATCCTGCAGGTCCTTTCCTGGGTCAGTCCAGTCTGCTTTGCCATCCAGAAATGAGCATCGGGCAGTTCTGACCAATATGTGTATGAGTGATTTGTGTCAAGACAAGTCTGGGGCTTATGCACCGAACAGAACGCTAAATTCTTCTCTGAATATTTGCTGGTCTTGTCTGAATTTAGAGACATTTTTACAAATAGCTCTTAATTCAGCTCAGGTCCAAGGTTTAAACTCTGAAGTTGTCTGAATACCTGGTGCATGGGGGAGGATCTTCAGAGGCAGCTAGCATTTTGGGTTCTTGGGAGGTTTGTTGGGCAAAGGCGGGGGACCTGGCAAAGGGGAATTAAAAGACGAGTCAGTGGAATTTCAGAAGGAGAGAGAATGTCAGGAGAAGAGGCAGAGGGAGATCTGGGAAAGGCAAATGGGGGACTTAATAGAGAAATAAGTCTAGTTGTTTTTCAAATTGGTCATTAGCTTTGGCCAGATAATTTTTTTTTTTTTTGCGGTATGTGGGCCTCTCACTGCTGTGGCCTCACCCGTTGTGGAGCACAGGCTCCGGACGTGCGGGCTCAGCAGCCATGGCTCACGGGCCCAGCCGCTTCGCGGCATGTGGGATCCTCCCGGACCAGGGCATGAACCCGTGTCCCCTGCATCGGCAGGCAGACTCTCAACCACTGCGCCACCAGGGAAGCCCCAGAGAATGTTTTAATGAAGCAGCTTTTGATTCAGAGTTTTGTTTGGAAGCCTCCTTATACCAAATCAAAATATGCTGCCCATTGAAACTGAGAAATCTTCTCCCCTTCTTATTGAAGGAGCCTCTCAAATGCACAATTTTGTTCAAGCCAAATCCTCCTTAGTGAAGCTATGAGGAGTTGAATGAGATGACATGTAAGAAGCAGGCATCTTTCCTGGAAGAGTAGAAGCTCTACATTTAAACTACCCCATAAGAGGTGGCAATGGTGGGTAAATGAGGTGCTTGTACCTCTCATGACTTAGGCCCCAACATGACTTCTCTGAATGCAGACTCCAGAGCCTCCACCACCTGACACCAAAGAGAACACTCTTTCTGGATTAAAGCCAAACTATCACGGCAAAAGAAAATCAGGAGAAGAAAAGCTCATTTGGTTTTATTGAATACCCACTGCAAAGTGTGTGCAAATGGATGCCAGTCTGATGAGAATGGAGTTCTGCCATTTGCAACAACGTGGATGGACCTAGAGTGTATTCTGCCTAATGAAATTAGTCAGACAGAGAAAGACATATACTCTATGCTATCACTCATATGTGGAAGCTAAAAAAGAAAAGAAATAAATGCATAGAATAAAACAGAAACAGACTCACATATAATGAGAACAAAGTAGTGGTTGTCACCAGACAGAGGGGAGAGAGGAACAAGATAGGGTAGAAGACTGAGAGATTAAAACTACTGTGTATACAGTAAGTAAGGAACAAGGACATATTGTACAGCAGAGGAAAATATACCCATTTTTTGTAATAACGTTAACTGGAATATAATCTATAAAAATATTGAATTATTTTGTTGTGCACCAAAAACTAATATTGTAAATCAACTATACTTCAAAAAAACAAAAGAAAAAGAAAGGGATGACCCTATTGACTATACCAGTCAATCTGGATATATTACTTGAAGTAATATCCAATAAAAAATATTAAGGAGGGACTTCCCTGGTGGTGCAATGGTTAAGAATCCGTCTGCCAATGCAGGGGACACGGGTTTGAGCCCTGGTCTGGGAAGATCCCACAAGCCACGGAGCAGCTAAGCCCGTGCACCACAACTACTGAGCCTGTGCTCTGGAGCCCGCGAGCCACATCTACTGAAGCCTGCGTGCCACAACTACTGAAGCCCACACGCCAAGAGCCCATGCTCCCCAACAAGAGAAGCCACCGCAGTGAGAAGCCCGCGCACCACAACGAAGAGCAGTCCCTGCTCATCGCAACTAGAGAAAGCCCGCACACAGCAACGAAGACCCAACGCAGCCAAAAATAAATGAATAAAAATAAATAAATAAATTTATTTTTTAAAAAGATTAAGGAAAAATAAGATGTAAGAGGCTTGTGAAAAAAAAAAGAGACATACTCTCATTATTTCGAGAGATCTTTATCAGTCAAGCAAGAGAATGTACAGAGAAGTGGTTACAGAAATTAAGTAATTTTGCTGGATATCAGACCAATATAAGAGCAAATTATTTCTATATGCTAGTAGTAATGTACAAAACCTATTTGGGATCTTAGAAGTATAAAACACAGAATCTTTAGAATTACAAACTTTTCCAGGACAAGAGAAATATATTAAAAGCATGTAAGAAGAATGGAGAACAGTTGGCTCTTTTGGGAAAATATCACCCCAAACCCAGCAATAAAGTTAAACCATTTGCCAACCTGCTCATTCAAAAAGAGGAGGGCGCCTGATCATTGTTCCCCATCCTGTGTTCTGTATCCAACAAAGATCTGTCCACATACAACTACTGGCTAGATTCCCCCAAAGGGGCTAGAGCTGCCATCCAGAAAAGGTCAAACTGGGTAGAGGGTTGTTGTAAACTAGTATGGACACTAGGTCCAAAACCCTGTAAACAAAACAAGTTTAGCAATTACTCTATTAAGGGGGTTGGGGGGAACAGGGGTATGGGCAGTGGTAGGGTGCCCGGAAAAGGAGGGCTTTTTAGAGAAAAGTGCTTAGGTTTGAAGCGAATGGGAGGAGGGTAGAGCTGCGTAAGGGTGCCCTCCCTAGAGAAAATCTAAGGAGCAGTCTGGCTGTCGGAAAGCAGACTGTATTTCAAGCGGCTTTTCTTTGCCCGGGTGAGCTTCCTTTCAGGTGTTTTAGTCAGTCACTGATCAGAATTCTGCAGTGCAGCCTGCATCCATAAAGCAACTGTTCGTGTGATTCTTACGGTGTGTGCAAGGTACACACAGCCAATATCAGAAGACTCTCTCCTGGTCCCCGCTGAGTTGGCCAGGAATTGTGGGAGGCAGTTGATTAAGGGAACAGGCATTTCCGGATCTTGCGTGGAGGACCATGAGGGCGCTGGGGACGCTGGTGAGGACCTGGACTTGGAGAGGGAGGTAGAGGTTGGAGTGGTGAGTCAGGGAAGGGCTCTGGAAGGTGCAAGTCCAGGATGTCGTCGTGGTGAGGAGAGCGTCTCTCTGGACTAGTGTTGGGGGCCCGAGGGGACGGCTCTGAGGCTTGGCCCAACAGGTGGAAGCCAGACATGCATCCAGCCGAGGGGCGGAGCCCAGCGACTGAGACTGCAGCAGCATCTGTCCCAGCCGGCAGGAAGTCGGCGTCAGCATCCGCATCCTCCTCGTTGACCTCTTCTTGGCAGGAGATCTCTGGGACAGCTGCGCACAAGAATCCCGGCTCCGGAACCATGTACTCCCCGGGAGGGCTCCGGAAAGCGCCCCGTCCCAGGCCCTGTCCCCACGGGCCTTCCACGCCCGGGCCCAGGAGGGCCTCAGGGACCAGCATGAGGATGTGATCTCCGAGAGACACTTGCAGCACGGACATTGGCTCGGGCTCCAGCAGCAGGTCGACGTCGTCCAGGGGCACGTGCAGGGCACAGCCGGCGGGCAGGACCACCACGAAGATGAGCGTGTCCACGGTCGGGGGCCAGGTCAGGTTGTCCAGGCTGGGCGCCGCCCTGGACTTGGACTCGGGGCCCGCGGGCTCCTCCGTTCGCCGGCGCTTGGCAGGGCCCGGTCCTCCGGGATGCGGTCCCCACCGGTCCGCAGGGGAAGCGCTGGGGCTGCGGGACCGGCTGCCCATCTTCTCAATGTGGCCGCGGGCCTGGGGCCTGGCAGAAGGCGAGGAAGGGCTGGGTCCTGCAGGCAGTGACAGATCGGTTTGACAGGTGAGGCCGAAGCAGGGCGGTTGGGCGCAGGACTGCGGGACGAGGGAGGAGCCTTCGGAGCTCTGGGGGTGCCTCTCGGGATCCCTCAGTCCTGGCTTCTAGGGGAGCTGCTGGGCTCGGCTTTGCTTGTGTGAATCTTCAGGCCCTCACGTGGACTGGTTTGCGCAGGAGTGGGCCGAGGATGTTGGGAGCGACGCCAGCGGAACCTGAGTCGCAAAGCATCCTCACGCTAAGCCCCGCCCCTTCCTAGGCTCCGCCCCTAGAAGTGGAGGCCTCTGTGTTGCCCAGTAGCCCCGGCTGTGGTGAGTAGTTTACTCTAGAGAAATACTTCCATAGGCCTCAAGGGGGCGGAGCAATCGTGCCGCTCTAGGACTAGGCTTCCTGGGTCGAGTTCCTGGCTTTGCTTGCGTTGACCTCAGATACGGAAAGCCTGAACCGGAAAACTGATTCAAGTTCAAGTCCCACCAGTGGAGCGCTGCACCAGGAGATGCAGATGAGATGTAGTTCCCTCGTCCCCTGAGACCTCGCCCTGGAAGTGACCTTTTAACTCCTTTTGGTCCAACAGTGAGGTGAATTTTTGGATGACATCCTTAAGCCTCTCCTTGCCTGTGATGTCAATGACTGTCAGATCCCTGAAGGTGGTTGCCAAGAGAAGGTGTGGCTCGACTGCCTCACCAGTGTTAATAGGAGAAAACATCCAATAATAATTCTGGAATAGGTAATACTTTCATATGGTTTCAGAGGAAGGTGAAACATCTCCCTCCCTGTCCTTTAACCACGTGATTGTTCACTTTGGCCCTTTTTACAAAATAGCTTATATGTTCTCATTTTGAGGGCCACATAGCATTCCTTTGTACTGAATTCCATTTAAATCAGGCTTCTCTCGATGGGTGTTCAAGCTAGTGATTTGTGAAATGGCAGACACTGGCCTTCTCTAGCCAATTGGTGTAAAATGCAGATTCTTTGCCGCATCCCAGAACCACTGCTCAGAACGCCTGGAGTCATGGGCGTAGGAATTCTCCTTAAGCACCTCCACAAAGATTCTGTTTTGTGAGGAAGTTTAAGATCACTGCATTTGTTTTCATTCAGCATTTGAGGGGTTCAGGAATAGGGCGGTTTATGGTTGAGGTCACATCCCAGCCTGTTAGTGACAGTCATGAAGGGAACTCAAACTTCCTGGGCCTGCCTTGAGGGGTTTCCCCTACACTCCTGGCCTGCATCCGCTCTCCTGGCTGCACTTCCGGTGTTTCAGCCACGGGCCAAGAAATTCCCCTGCTTATGTCAGGATGCTGGCTGGGGGAACTTACAGGGGCTGTACACTGGCATAGCGGGCCCTGCCAGGAACCTGAGTTCTCATGGGGTGAATGTGGATGCCACTGGCACCTTCCTCTATGTTCCCAGGTGATGGGAGCCGTTGCTGTGCGCCTGTTGTTTGGACAGAGGGCGGGGTGGGGAGATGTTGGGGAGCTTTCAGGAAACAACTACTTTTGTCCTGGCGAGTTCTGTTGGCGAAGCTTGAATATCCCATGGTCGGGGAATGTTCAGTGGGGGCTCCGTTCAGGAGAGTGAGTGTGAACATGCTCTGTTTTAGGGGCCAGAAGGAGGAACCCAAACTTGGCCAGGATACAGGGTGGGGCTCGGGGCTGTTGGCCTGGCCAGGGATGGGGCCCTGAAGGTGGTGGCTCCCGTCCTAGCCTGGTGCCATCTCTTGTCCACGGCTCTCCTGACCTCAGTAGTCTCACATCTGGGCTCATCATTGTCCTGGGCCCTGTGAATCCTCACTGTGAGCTCCCCTCCCAAGGGAATGTGGTCCTGTCCTGAGACAAAGGTAGTTACCAGGGGCCTGGCATAGTCGCACCTGATTTCCTCCTCTGGTCAGCCCCTTTCTTTCTTTCTTTCTTTCTTTCTTTCTTTCTTTCTTTCTTTCCTTCCTTCCTTCCTTCCTTCTTTCCTTCTTTCCTTCTTTCTTTCCTTCTTTCTTGTCTTTTTTCTTTTAATTGGCCGTGCGGCGAGGCCTGCTGGGATCTTACTTCCCCGACCAGGGATTGAACCCGTCCCCACTGCAGTGAACGCTTGGAGTTCTAACCACTGGACCGCCAGGGAATGCCCATGGTCAGGCACGGGCAAGTCATGTCACCTTCGCTAACCTCAGTTTCCTTACGTGTGAAACGGGGAGAATGCCATCTACTGTGCAGGGGGGTTGTGAGATAATGTATGTAAAATGTTCTTGGAACACAGTAAGTGCTTAGTAAATAGTAACTATTTACTGTTGATGATGTTTATAATCTGTCTTTCCCACTTGACATTGTCAGCCCTGTTCTCATCATCCTGAACAGTGCCTGGCATGCAGCCAACATCCAGTGAATGGTAAACAATAGCTTCATCATCATCGTCATCCTAAAAAGGGGTCTGATCTGCTAGAAAGTACTGGTCCAGGTGTTTCCAGGAGATAACATCTATATAATTGAGGAATGGCTTGCCGAGCACCAGATCAGATATCTTTCCTTCTGCCTTATTTTTGTTTACTCTAAGATGTCCAAAGACTGTCAGGATGGATTATCAGGCCCACTCATTGGGCTTTCTTGGTGTCATTCCAACCTGACTATCCAATCAACATGAACTGCTTGAACCACTGTGGGGGCGGAATTAGCAAATAAATCCCGGTTCTGGGTAGGTTACAAGATGGCTGCCGATCGTCCGTCTGATGAGGGCTATTCTGCTCTCCCCCTAGAATGCATAACTAGCTTTTAAAAAATTCCTATTTATTTTTATTCACTTTAGGAATAATACCTGAATACATATTTTAGAATATCTAAACAGCATAGTTAAAGCTGGAGCTCCCTTCAACTCCCCACAAACTCCCAATCCAGTATTGATGTGACAAGATCCTTTTCTATGGACCTACAAACATAACACAGGGGACTTGTTTTCTTCCCGAATGGCAAAGTATTGTGGGTCTTTTTCTGCAATATGTTGGATCTTATTGCTGTTTGGTATTGTCATCCACAAAGTACATTACCCCTTCTATCTTTAATTGGAGAGACCTTTTCCAACATGCAATACAGGCTTCTACATGAAAATGTTGTATAAGAAACGGCAGCTTCAAACATCTCTTGTACAGCAACACCTTTGTCTTTGCCTGAAGCAGAGTGAGGTACTGGCCCACCCACTCTCTGCTTACCTCACAGTAATACTGGTAATTCTGGTATATTATGTTGTGCTTTCTTTCTTTCCTGAATGTGTTACTGAGAGGTGAATTGCATTGAATTAGTGATGCTATCCCAATGATTTGATACGATGATGGCCTGTGTTGTCACACGATTATTAATCCTTTACTATTTTAAGAATGACAACCTGTCATTGAAGTAGTTATTTGGCCTTTTAAAGGCTGAGGCTGAAGCCAAATGCAGTTTGGGTTTTTTTGTTTTTTTTAACCAAGGACTTCAGCTTCTGTGTTATAAGTGACAGACAGTGATTTCTGTATCTTAATTTTGAATTCAGCTTTCTTATGGAATTCTCTTTTTTTTCAGTTATTTTTTTAGGTTTACAATCATATGGTTTGCAAATGGTCTTATTTTTCTTCCCTTTAAGATTTTAAACATCTAATTTCTTTCTCTTGTCTGATTTTGTTGGCTAGTATCGCCAGTATAATGTCAAATATTATTGGAAGAGTGACATCTTTCTTGTTCTAGACTTTGGTGGGACTCCTGCTACTGTTTGCCTATTAAGCATATTGCTCAGAAATAAATGTCATGTCAATCAATCTCCTCCTGTTTTATTGAATATTTAATGCGTTCTTTTGAAATATTTCCAAACTTACAGAAACAGGGCAAAAACAATATAAAGAATTCTCATTTATCCTCTGTTAACTTTTAACACTTTGCCACATTTGCTTTGTCATTCTTTATTCCTGTCTCTCAGAAAGACCACAGGATATGTATGTTTATATAGATAAATAAATATACACATACATAAATATTTGTTCCTTGAATCATTAGAGAGTAAGTTGTATATATTCAGACCCTTTCTCCAGAATTACTCAGTGTATATTTCCTAACACGAATATTCTCTCATATATATTTTAGAACAGTTATCAAATTTTTAAAAATTTAATATTGCTGCCATGCTTTAATCTATAGTCCATTTTCCAATTTTGTCAATTATATTAACAATATCTTTTATTATATATCTCTATCTCTGTATCTATTTAAAATTTTTAAATTTGCTATTATTTTTCCTTCCAGCTTTGAGATATAATTGACACACAGCACTGTTTGTTTAAGGTGTACAGGATAATGATTTGACTTATATAAATCATGAAATGATTACCACAATAAGTTTAATTAAAGTCCCTCATCTCGTATAGGTACAAAATTAAAGAAATAGAAAAAAAATGTTTTCTTGTGATAAGAACTCTTTAGATTTATTCTCTTAACCTTAATGTATAACATACAGCAGTGCTAATTATAGTTAGTGTGCTATACATTACATCCCTTGTATTTATTTATCCTATAAGTGGAAGTTTGTACCTTTGGTCTACTTTCATCCAATTAACCACCCCCCTTTTTTTCTTTTTTCTTTTTGCCTATAAGATGCAGGTCAGGATCATGCATCTCTTTCAGGTGTCGTGTCTCCTTAGTTAACTTTTTTTCTGGAATAGTTCCTTAGCCTTCTGTTGTTTTTCAAGCCATTAATATTTTTGAAAATTATAGGTAGTTATTTCTTAGTGTTCCTCAATTTGAGATTCTCTGATGTTTCCTCATGATAAGAGTAAAATTATATAAATATTTTTGCCTTCAATACTAATAAGTGATCCTGTGTTTTTCTCTGGAGACACATCATATCCATTTGTTCCTTACAGGTGACGTTAATTTTTCTTTTTTCAATTTAATGCTTATTAGTAAAGTTATGGAGT